TCTCTTAGACAATGCTTGGTAGCATCTATGGCCCATTAAAAGTCCCGTAACTTGTTGTTTGAGGGAGTTCTTAGTTTCCTCCTGTGCCCCAATCCGGGATATGGCAGGTTCTAGCGCCGCTACGAAATCTAATGTCTGGGCATCCATGAGGTTGTAGCCAGTGTCTCGCTGTAACAAAGAGAGTTGGGGCTGGGTCAATACTTTTTTGGATAGATTACATACCAGTCTATCGGAGGGGGAGGAGTTGTTAACATCAAATTCCCGTAGACTGTCTATCCTCTGTTGGAATACCCCCGTCATACGTTGGTTCATCCTTTTAGAGGTTGCACTGATATGGTGGCATAGTGCGTGGAAGTGTTGACTTGTCAAAGTCCTGCTACAACAATCCCTATAATCCTGGGTCCACGCCTTTAAGCTGCTTATGCGTCTATGCTGCTTGTTGATAAGCGCGCAGATGGTGCAACGCTGGAACCGGTGGACTGCTTGCCGGCATTCTAGGGAGTTAATGACGGGTTTCCTCCTAAGTGACTTGGGAACCAAGTCCTCTCTGATACAGCTGTGCAGGAATGTCAGCTTGCTATAGTTCACAGAGATACGGTGCGCAAATTTTTCCCATTTTCTAGCCATGAGCAGAGCTGCTCTGTCGTATTTATCCGAAATTACTTTAAAAATGTGATCCCCAGGTATATCCATGTTCAAAGTCAGTCAATAGACATGAGCACCAGGGAATAAATAATTTAATAATAATAATTTAAAGATAAAAGTTCTTAAGAATATTAAAAACTTTAAAATACATAGAAATCAATAAAAGTGCCTAGCTTTCTTTTCAATATAAAATTTTTATTTTTATCATAAAAAAAGAAGAAATACATCACAGATATTACACAATGTTATATCCCATCCCCCCACCCCCCGGACTTCCCAAACCAACCTAGGCTGATATTCAAATACAAGTAAACAAATATTAATATCTCTAACTCCAAAATCTAAACTTAAACAATCCATCTCCTCCGTATTAATAAAAATTATTCATTTAGTTAGTTCTTCAAATATCCAAAATNTTATACTAGAATGTACTCCAGGCACCGAGTTCTTATTGGGAGTTGTCCTTCCCACACGATCCGTATCAGTGTAAGTAATAGCAGGGGATGTCCTTTCTTGGAGGTTTAGCGTGGGTAAAGCCTCTACTCCCCTCCTTTTTTGTGTAATCATGTCTTCCAATTTCCTCTCTTGACTATTAGCCTTGTTTTCTTTTCTGCTCCCTCTAAGCTGTTCTAATACACAGCACTGTTGTCCCCCCTCCCCTTCGCACCTCTCCTCTCTATATTTATTGCCGTTTGTTAAGGTATTTAACCTAATCACTGTTGCACTCCCCTTTCTTCGGTTCGATGTCCGTATGTCAGTCTCTTGGGGATTATCTTCTACTGATGTGGGTATTTCCCTATTTCTTGCCCATGACCGAGTGATCGTAGCTCCAATCCGCTTTCTCCCATCCTCTTACATTACATCCTCTTTCACCCTCCCTTACATTAACAACGTGTCAGAGGCCACGGCCCGTTTATTGGCACCTTATAAGGTGAGGGTGGCGCATAACCCCAACCAAACGCTGAGATCCAAGGTGATGAGACCCAAAGACCCCCTCCCCACCGTGGAAAAGTCGGGTGTCATCTACAAAATCAACTGCAGGGACTGCCCTGCCAACTACGTAGGTGAAATATCCAAGAGAGTAAAAACTAGAATGCATGAGCACCGGTTAGTGGTTAGGAGAGGTGAGCAGTACTCCGAAATAGTGGCACACATGGAGGAATCAGGGCACAGATTTTATTTTGAGAACGCACAGGTGGTTGCTATGGATAGTACAAAAGGGGGCCGGCTCTTGAAGGAAGCCTGGCTTTCCAACGAGGGGTCCATTAACCGCCATGTGGACCTGTGCCCGGCACATGCCGCCCTACGAACTTGGTCCATGGGAGGTCAACCCCTGAGAAAGAAACCATCTGATGCCCTAGTGCACACCCCAGGGAGAAAGGTAGCAAAAAGTGCAAGCCCCGGATGCGCCCGGGCGAGGAGCAACCGACCGCCACATAACCGTTTGGGTATGGAGAAGCAGATGGAAGAGCATATTAACAATGAGGGACTGGTTGACGGTGGTTCAAGTGACCCCTGCCACCCGGTGGGAAGTTGTGCCATGGGGTCACCCCCCGTTGAGTTCCGGAGACAGGAGGGAGGTGAAGAAGGAGGATTTGATACCCCCCCCCATGACTTGACAGTCAACGTCATCCGTGGGATCACCCCCGGGGGATCCCCCTGTCCTGCCAACATAGGGGGGGCACGTGGAAGCAAGAGAACAGCAACGTACAACGTCAGAGCGTCCACACGCTCCCGGAGGGGTCTGCACAGGAACAGCTTCCCTGGTGCGTGTGCGAAGGGGTGTGAGAGCTGGGGGTTAGCTAGCTCTGCCCCCCGGTACAGAAGACATTGAGGAGGACGATCGTGCAGCCCCGGGGAACAGGGGATGCGAGTGGGTGAGAGAGGGCGCTCCCCTTGTGAGAAGAACGCCACATGAAGAAAGAGAGGACGGGACTATGGGTATGGCGGCGGGGGCGTGCCTCATAGCGACAGCCCGTTACCACCAGGACGCTGCTTGTGTGACCTCTGGTGTGATCATGCACCCCCCCCACGAACGAGGGATTGGAGAAGGCTGAGGGTGTTGGGGGTAAGGGGAGGTTAGGGCACGAGCCTGATAATGGGACGATTAGGATGCAGCCCCGGGGGGTGGAGGAATGCGTTGGATGTGGATGGTTAGGGGAGGAGAGAAAAGGGAGGAGTGACTCCGCAGTGGGGGTTAGAAGAGAGGATAGGGAGCGCGGGCGGCAGGGTTCTCCTGCGGCCGCACTGAGTGTGAATGGGTACTCGCTAGGAAGGAAGAGATGTGTGGGTAAGGAAGGGAGCACTCCCCCTACATCGGTAGGGCTGCAGATGGAAATGAATGGCGAGGTGGTGACGATGTGCGTTGGGGCGCGTCCCATGCCACCAGCGACCCCTCAGGATGGCCCAGGGAGAGGTCTGGATGCAGCCGTCATGCACACGCTTATGGAAGAAGGATTGAGCAGTGAGCTTGGGGGTAGGGAGAAGGAGGGGAGGATGAGAGTGACTTGGGGGGTATTAGGATCTGGCGTGGCGGAGATGCTCGGCATGAATGAGACGGCTGAGGAGGTCACTAGAAACGAGAGGAGGGTGAAGGAGGTTGGAATGCGCGTGGTTAGGAAGAGACGCACGCACGAGAGAGGAGGCACTCCCCCTACACCGGGAGTGCTACAGGTGAAAGTGAATGGCGAGGGTGCAATGATGAGCATTGGGGCGCAGCCTACACCACCAGCGATTGCCCCTCGGGATGGTTTGGGGGAAGGTCTGGGTACAACCATCACACACACGCCCATGGATGGAGGATCGAACAGTGAGGTTGGGGGTAGGAAGGAGGAGGATAGGGAGATGGGAGTGGTTTGGGGGGGAATGAGATTTAGTGCGGCTGAGACACACGGTGTGAATGAGATGGCAGAGGAGGTCACTGGAAACGAGAGAAAGGGGAGGGAAGTTGGAACACGTAGGTTTAGGAAGAGAGATGGGGGCAATGGGCAACAAGGGGTTGCCCTGGGCATGGGACTGAATCCCCCCCCCCTAGTATACGAACAAGGAAGGGAAGCAGCAAAGGTGGGGAAGAGGGAGGCAGGAACATGTCAGCTGGCGATACGACAATTAGAAGCCGGACGCAGGAGGATCGGTTGGGCCCAATCACGAGGTCTAGGAGTCGGGTGCAAAAGGCACCACTCCTATAAATAGCCATCCCATCGACTGCTAACCACCCTGATGATGCTGGCAGGAAGCCGGCGAAAGCTAGGTGTTTTAACTTTATTAAAACTTTTATAGTTTTTAAAGAACCTCCTGGTGGTCTCACAGTTTGAGGTTCCCGAATATGGATTTACCCAGGAGTCAACTTTCGGTTTTTAGGATTTTAAGTAATATATATATATATTACTTAAATATATATAACTAAAGACCTACATACAAACACCCGCGAATGTATTACTTCTGACATCACCAGAAGTTGTTGTATTTAAGTTAAGAATCACATTCAGGGAAGAGAAGAGTTCTATTGGATTATTCTAGAGATCAGAATCTGGATCAAGGGCAGTGGTGGGATTCAAATACGTGAACAACCAGTTCTCTGTGTGGATGCCGCTTCCGGAAGTCCATTCTGGGCCTGGGCAACAAAAAAATTAGCTACCGGTTCTGCCGAACTGGTGCAAACTAGCTGAATCCCACCACTGACCAAGGGGTTCAAGTAGAAGAAATGACAAACTGTGGAAAAGTTATTGAGTGCTTCAGAAGGCTGAAGTGAGAGCTGTTGGAGTAGCAGATGTCTTGCACCTCTTTCAGATGGACTAGATGACCTTTGTATTTCCTTCCAACTTTTGAAGCCTTGAATCTTCTGAATCTTCTGTCCAATTGTCTTAATGCTTTTTTCTAATTGTTTTCTAGCTGGAGAACCATCTACTTTATTATTTCCTTCTGCATGGGGTGGGCCATCCTTTACGATGTGAGTTCCCCCTTTTTGTTACTTGTTGTCAAAAGATATTTTGCTACATGTCATTCAGCTGGCAACTCTCATCTGCCTTCCAGCCTCCTACATTTAATGCTTCCCTTTTTGATTAAAAAAAAGTTGGGAGTGTAGGGACAGAAGGGGTCCATGTTGTCAACATCTTTCAAATATCTTAGCAACTGCAGTTGCTTTGTGGTCTCCTTTCCCTTCCATCGTCCCATTCAATGGCAGCTCCAGAGAAGTGTTGGTGGGCTGGTGTGTTGCGATTCCTAACAAACGGTGTCTTCTTTCAGAAACCCTGGTTCTGGGACTTCCGCAAATGTTGGCTTGGGTATCCCAAGCAGGTAAGGAGTCGAGAGACATTTGAATATTTCTATGGAAAAGTGTTTGTCAATCAGCATATGAAACTGCAGTACATCCTGCCTTGCCTTCCCAAAGATATTTATCCAAGCATTAAAATACAATTCTTTCCACTTCCAGTAAAAAGCAGCACACCTAAATGATTAAACAGTAATAAGGGACACCACATGAGACCAAGTGCAAGCAAGCCATCAACAATGTCCTGGGCAAAACCATAGGATGGTGTGGGTAGCAGGAGGAGAGGTGAAAATTAACCACCATGAGAACAGAACAGAACAAAACAACAGAACAGAACAGAACAGAACAGAACAGAACAGAATAGAATAGAATAGAATAGAATAGAATAGAATAGAATAGAATAGAATAGAATAGAATAGAATAACAGAGTTGGAAGGGACCTTGGAGAACTTCTAGTCCAGACATGTCAAACTTGTGACGTCACATGATGTCACGCAACGTATCAGGGCGGTTTTACCATTGCTGGCAATGGGGTGGGCGCAGCTTCTGGAGGACGCATCTTGCCTGCGAGCCAGCAGTTTGACACCCCTATAAAAATAATAATAATAATAATAATAATAATAATAATAATAATAATAATAATAATAATAATAATAATAATAATAATAATAATAATAATGCATACGATAATAAAAGCCCCAGTGAGGCACTACCTTGACGTGGTTGTGGGGCTTGTGTACTCTGAGGAAGATGAGAGCTATGCCAGAGGTTCAACCATACTGGACAGGTCTCATCAGAGGAGTCAGACAAAGAGTGTCTCTCCCATAAAAAATATGGTGAGACGTAAATTTCAGAATGCCATACCGGCTCGGATGTCGCCCGGGTTAACAAGGTC